ATATGTATATATATATATATATATATATATATATACACACATATATATATATATATAGACATACATATATATATATAGTTTACATTAAATATTGCACCCAAAACAAAAATCCAAACTTTGCACGTCTCCCCCACTGGGTGATGGACCACCCTATAGTGGTCACCCGATTCGTGCAGGGCCCAGCATTGAAGGGTTGACCGTTGACTTTGTCCATCTTGCATGGGGTTTGGTAGCCGGTGAGAGGTTGAATTGATAGGACTTGTTGGGTGGTGTTGAGCTGTTTTGAGTGTGATTAAACACTGAGATGTTGTCAAACAGCCTTGTTTTCTGGTGTTTGTCATGTTTAAGATGATCAAGATGGATTAGAGCATTTAGTATCTCACTGTCACCCAGAGATTTGATGTTCCCCTTTTTACCTGTATGGCTTGCTTTTCATGGAAGTCGTTCATAGAATGTCAAGGTTTGCAACGAACAAGGTTCATTTTAGAGGTAGAAACAGAGGTGGATCAGAAGTATTACTTGCGATGTCAAATGGGTACACATAAGAATCTGATGATATGCTTGAGATCATCATCCTAAGATTCCTAACACATCACCTAAAATATAATAAATTAGAATAAAGGTCATGTCTAGGTGTATTTTATGTTCATCCGCAAATCTCTGCATGAGCTATAATACTGTGTTAGGAGTATCAGACATCAATCTGCATAAATCAATGGTTTGAGTCAATGGAATTACTGCTACAGAAATGTGATACCATTCTCTCTTCTAAATTAAAGCATAATGGGTGTCCAATTTATCAAGATATAATCACAAACTGTAGTTTCTAAATGTTTTGAATTGACTACATGTGATCCTCTTTCAATTGGGTTCTGTTGATGGCAATACTCAATTAATTTGGCTAATATCATTTCTTTTTTCATAATTTTCAATGAATTTCTTTTTGGTCTTCTTCTACCTCTTATTAGCAACTTTAATTAGTGTTAACTTCCCACACCAGCAACACATATATATAGATCTTAGTCATGTCCAAGCTAGTATAATAAGATTTTTCTTAATTTAACCTTGTTTAGTATTATGTATTATTTCCATAAGAACAAGGATATCGTACTCTTATCGTTTCCGTAAAAGATTATATTCACCACAATACCTCTTCTCTAGGGTACTAAATTCAAGCTTTTGCGTATGTTTGTTAATTTTTCTACATTTAATTTATAAAGCATGCAAGGTACCACAACTGTCTTATAAAGTTTTTCGTTTAAGGGACACTTGATGACCACACAATGTTCTAGATGCCCTCACAATTTTTACCATCTTGCTCTGTTATGAGCTCCCATTTGTGTCGAATTAGGTGTCCAAACCATCAAACCTTTTATTACTTTGGATTTTTTTATCAGTCGAAAACTTTATTTTGGAAGTTGAACTTTGTAACTCTAATTTAGAATCTGTCCCTACTCAATTTGATGTCTCATTTGATTTTTGTTGATAGTTATGTAAAACAATAAATTCAGGAAAAAGGAGTTACTGGTGAAATCAAGCTGAATTATCTTACTACAAATCTGATGTCTCATTTGATTTTTGTTACTTGCTTCTGAAATGAATTCAACAATCTAATCATTTATGGTTTTACCAATGCACATTTGTCTCATTTGATTTTTTGTTACTTTCTTCTGAAAAGAATTCAACAATCTAATCGTTTATGGTTTTACCAATGAATTATAGTGTCACAAAGTTGTTAATCCTTGTTTCTGATGACTCCTAGTGCATCCTTAATTTGTGCAGTTTCGATTCTGGCAGATGGTTCATCATGGTAACAGTGCACATTTGAATTTATAAATCAATGGATTTCTGCTATTTAGAAAGCATCATTTGACATGATTCTTTGTTTAATCAAAGAACGTGTTCAGTTCATGAATTCCAAAAGGACTTGATTATATTTAGGAGATACTAGTATATGGAAATAACTCACTGATTTAACATTCTCTGAGTTGGTTCAACATAGATTAGACAACACTGTCTTTGCTTCTTGATGATAAGACTTTTGTACTTCTCGGGTCGTCCATAGGTTGACCAATGCATTTGGAATTTTTGACCGAAAAGCATTATACAATCACGATGCTGTCAAGTTACTTTACAAGAGTGAAGCAGATTCTGCACTGTCCTTTTAGAGAAACAAAATTAATAATTGGAAAAGGAAAGCTTTAAATTCTCTACGGTATAATAACAATTACTTGTGGCATGTGATAGGTTTTTCGGCACTAAGGGATATCAGGAGCTTCTCCCGACCTGGAATAGGAGGTGTCAATGAAATGGCAAGCAGAAGACTGAAATCACAGCTGAGCTTCTCTGGAACAGGCCAACCATCTCAAGTTTCTCAAATCGGCATTCCAGAGATAGGAGACAATGTAGGTTGCAGCAACAATTCTGATGTTAGATCAGGAAGTGTCAGCCAATCTTACATCTCCAGCAACTTTTCAATTGGTTCATGGGATGATACCAATTCAATCATTTTTTCTGCACCTTCAAGCAAACGGGCCAAGGATAACAATGGGGATATTATAACCATGAGCAATATTGAGTCTCAGGTAGCCTTTCTATTCTCCTTATGATAGTAACTGAGGCAGAGGTGCAAGGACAATGTATCCTAGGCAGAGGTACTTGGTAAGCTACACTGCCTATTGTGTGTCACTATTGTGGTTGGTTATCTGATGCAGAAAACAACTTGGGTTGGGGGGTTGACAGGACCCAAGTTTCCTTAAACATCTCTTTCTATTATCCCCTTGGAGTGATCTCAATGAAAAGAATATATGAACAAGTACTACTAAATACTAACAATTAAACAGTGTACATTATCTTAATAAATTATTATGTTCAAATTATTTACTTTTTGCGATGTTTTGATTATATGGACCAGTAAGATCATTCCTCATTCTTTTCTGCCATTATCCTTGATGTCATTGGTTGCAAGCATTAACCTACTTTGTATCTTCATGGTTTCAGTGTAGCTTACCAAGTACAACTCTTGAGATGGATACAATGGATAAGTATCTACAGTTCCAGCATGACCAGGTTCCATTCAAAGTCCGAGCTAAGCGTGGATGCGCCACACATCCCAGGAGTATTTCCGAAAGGGTTAGTAGATCCCAATCTAAATGTTGCACAATATGTATTTGTATATGTGTATATTTATATACATATTCAGATAGATGCTATACTTTGCATGCTAATCTTATTCCAGTTAATTAGTTTTCATTTAAAAAATGGTAGCAAGTGCACAGATCTCCCGCTGGTTGGGGTCTTTAAGAGGGATGCTATACTGTGTGCAGCCTTACCCTTGCTGGTGGAGAGGTTGTTTCTGTGCTTATTAGATATCATATAAGTTTCAAGTTTGATTTCTCCCTCTTTCCCAGGAAAGGAGAACAAGAATTAGTGAGAAATTGAAAAGCCTACAAGATCTCGTGCCAAACATGGACAAGGTAACAACCAAAGAGTTTGTATTTACTGCTAATATAGTCTTTTTTAAGTCTTTGTTGTAATATAAAATCCTTTATGGTTATTCCTCTTTATGATCTTACATGAACCTAATTTATCATTCCTCTTTTTTGCTTTTCCCTTGTATGTCAAAATGGAAATATCAAAGTACATGTATGGTATGGTATCCATACACAATTCAAGAAACACATGGTCAAAATGACTTCAAGACATACTCTTCTTAAGCATTTTTACTGCTTTACCAATTTCAAGCACAGAATAATTTTATATTTTCCTGGTCAAAATGTCACAGCAAACAAGCACTGCAGACATGTTGGACTTGGCTATCGAGCACATCAAAGAGTTGCAGAGCCAACTTCAGGTGAGTATTAAATCATGTCCTGCCTGTTGAAACTCAACTTGGTAATCAATGGTATTCATGCCTGAAGTTTATTAAAATTAGATCTTCTTTCAGTTGAATATTATACTGTGTGATAATAATAATAATTAGTTGCCGAAAGTATGTGAAAGAGACTAAATTCTACAGATGGAAAGCCTGTTACAAGTGACTTGATATGGTCAATTCAATTCACATGGACGAACAACGTATGCTTCTACTATTTTCATTGAGCAAGCAGTAGCATAAATTTTCTCCCTCATTCCATAATTAACAATGTATTTTTATAATCTTTTTATATAAGTAGAACTAGGCTATTTATTTGAACAGAATACATTATGAATAAGTCAAATTAAGAGTGAAACTTAACAGTGTTTTGTTATACCATGTCAAAATAGAGACCGATAAATATTATGACAATCTGGCTAGTTATGTTGTTTCATTGAATAGCATCTGTTCTTCCAAATATTCTTGCGCTGGTCAGATTATGGTGAACTGTGCTTACTTGGGGATCGAAATTTAATTTACATCAGAAAATTCATCTCTTGCTATGCTGCAGAACAATGGTTGTTAGAATGCAGCTATTCACAATGATTCTTCTGATTGGTGATGTGCTTGAAAAGAATGGTAGAAGATCATTCTTTTGGCACTGTCATTGGAGCACCATTTGTCCATTTAATGCTGCTAATGTTAATGCATCAACTTGATTGATTGATGTTTTACATGCACACAGGCATGTGAATAAGATGCAAATGTATATCGAAGTCTCAAAGTTAGAACAAGAAGAAAGATAACATGTTAATATATGTATATTAAGTTTGTATTTATATCCTAGAATAATGAGTAAAATATCGACAGTGCAGCCATATATAAAACAATTCCAAGGTTCGCAATGATGTGACCTGCCTTGCTGAGCCGAATCATCGTATGCATGGTTTCTTGTGTACATTATAGCTGGCCTTCAAGAAAGAAGCTTTCGAGGAAAACATTTTAATCCCTGCAGAGCTAAGGAAAAGCTAGACATTTAAATACATTGAATACCTAGAGGAAGGCGAGCTTTTTGAGCACCTTTAGGGAAGACTCATCCAAAACAATCAACATATTAATTCTACCATCCATATTCATTCTTTTCAGCTTAGGGATAAGCTTCCTGTTTCCATGGATTCGATGCTTGTAATCTTATTCTAGCATTAATTTTCTCATTCAGGTCCTAAAGCAAGAACAAGAGAACTGCAAGTGCAAGAAAGCATGACAGAACTTGCGGTAGACTGTGCTTATGTCTGTAGGAATCTGTTTAGTGCTTACTGTTGGACTAGAGGAACTATCCTTCTGCCAAATTTGGCGAGTGTAGTCTGTAACTATCCTTCTGCCAATCCTTGTGTGATAGATTACATCAATTGTCTGCATTTTTTGTGTTCTCATTGGACTGGCATGAGGTATCTGGCATACGGAGTTCTTCATTTCCCTGATAATAATGAGATTCCTGTGGATTGCTCAAAATTGTGAACTTATGTCTCACATATATCTGAGAATGTCATGAACCTGCAAAATGGAAACCAACCTAGCAGACATCATGATTCATTTTCTGATATAATGTTTGAAATAATAATTATGTGACTAAAGTTTCTTAACCAAGACAAATTCATCTACTTGAAAGGCAGTGTTAGTAAAGGTGAACTTGCATTCATGCAGAAACTTATATTGTTTCTGCAAATGCATACAGGTGTGATCATAATTGCCGATAGTGAGGATTTGTGCAGTCTGTATCAAACTGCTCTCCGAGTTACTTGCTCATGACAATTTTTTCTTGCAGCATTTAAGTGGTGATAGGGCATATTCTAGTACCACCCCTACGGTAACAATCAGCAGCCACGTTAGTGCTAACATGGAGTCTTAGGGCTGATATGGTGCATTACGTCAACGTAACACCTTAGACTTAGATGGGACAGTTGCCTGTTCCTACACTGTCCGAGGCCATACAAGATGATGCCGCATAGCATAAAGCCTCTCCGGAAAGCTCGAAATGATGCCGAGTGCCGCGGATTCATACAGGTCAGTCGGTGCTCATAGAGGAGGTACAAGTCAGTCTCTCGAGGAGTCAACTGTCATTAATAGATCATGTATGATCAACTCTCGTTTGTAGGTATAAAAGCTAACCCCCTGATCGACATCGGGGGAAGGACTTTGAGTATTCAACTCTCTCTTATTTCACTTAATGTTAACTTAACCTTCGGAGGGGTCGAGTTGAGAAATCCCGTTCCTGACCTCGGCCTATGTGTAGGAGCCAAACGATAAAGAAGCAGGCCACTAGCCAAGAGAGAAGATCACACTTGGGAGACGAGGCTCAAACTCAACTTGACCTGATGCTCGCTTCCACCACCCGAGCATCTGTGTGGGCAACCTTGCGCATCCTGGATTAGACCAAGCTATGCTGACACCTAGGCGATAATATAAAAGTTCACTAACATTTTGGTGCTAGAATGAGGGCCCGATGTTACAAGAGCACCCCCAACCGAGCAACCCAGGAGAACACCCCAGAGAAGAGCCACCCCTGGCTCACCCGACTTTCAAGTTTGGAGGGCAACTCCCACTTCCTCTAAGCCTAGAAGGGAATACCTCGGTCATAACCCCGAGCCGCTATTGGTGGCTGTTCAATAATCCCAAGCTATTGCCTCCCGAGACCATCATGGGATAGCTTGTTGTCTCAATCAAGGCATTCCTCAACCTCACCCACCAAGTGTAAGCATTGTGTTGAATATCAGATTTTGATGATGAAGTCAATTGTAATTTGTTTGATCTAATCTATATGTTGAGAAAAGTATATAAGATTAACTACGATAGTAGTAAGATATAAAGCAGGTGTTGTCCAGGAGCTCGCCGGGATTCCGTCGGAACCAACCGGAAGTAAGATACAAAGCAGGTGTTGATTCTGCGGGAACCAACCGAGAAGTCCAGGAGCTTGCCATAGAAGCTCGTCGGAACTCCCAAGAAGATCGTCGCAAAATCCAGGAGCTTGCCGGGATTCCATCGGAGCATCGCCGAGAGCTCGTCGGATGTTCACCGAAAGTATGTCGGAAGCTCGTTGGAAGAGCGATTGACACACCAAAACACAAAGTACAGTAATTATGACTTAATTATCGTAGTTAAAGTACAGATTAAGTTAAGATTGGGAGGTAATCCCACTAACTTAATTAGGGGCCAACTGGGCCCTTAATAGGCCTTAATTGGGCTAAATGGAGCAGCCCATTCGGCCCCTGAATTCCTGCCCGACAATGGCACCACCTGGGAGACTCGGTCTCCCAAGAATTCTGGGCGGTGGTATCGCCCCTGTCAGGCGATAGTACTGCCAGAGCTCGATCTCCAAGCTCTGTCAGGTAGTGGTACCGCCTAGACTGAGCGGTAGTACTATCCAGTGTCAGATGACAAGCGATAGTGTCGCCTAGTAATGGCGGTGGTACCGCTAGTACCCAAAAATCCGGGATGAAACACTTCTTGGCTCCATTTTTGAATGCCATTGGGGTCTATAAATACCTCACCATTTTCTACATGAAAGGCAACGAAATCTTGATATATTTTTGAGTCTTTGAAGTGTTAAAGAGTTGTAAAAGTGCTAGAGTACTCCTCCTTCCTTTCTAAGTATTGAGATCATTCAAGAGAGGAGTGAAACTTGTAAGGGTTGTCTCCTAAGCCCGACAAAAGGAGAAAAGCTGTGAAAGGTGGTTGACCTTCGCCTATTGAAGGAAGGCCTCTAGTGGACGTCGCTGACCTCGTCGGAGGAGGAAGCCAAAAGTGGATGTAGGTCACATTGACCGAACCACTCTAAAACTCGGTTTGCATTTACTTTAAGCAACTTTCTTTTATAGCAAACTGCCTCTCCTTCTTACTGTACTTTAACTATGTCTACATACGCTTTGACGTAAACATCTTCCGAGATCGGCTTTAATTGTATGAAGACTTTACGAAACCAACGCTTTTCATTTGTGCAACTTACATTGCTGCAAATCACCTTAGTCTTCTCTTGCACTTTCACGAAAGGTTTCAAGATCAAATTCCTTCCGAAACGGATTGAGTTGAAATCATTCTCATTGAATCGGCTTTAATCAAAATAAGTTTTTCGAAATAGCGAAAGTTTTCTGCTGCACTAATTCATCCCCCCCTCTTGGTGCACTCTTGATCCTAACAATTGGTATTAGAGCAAGGTTTACTCTTGGTTGGTTTAAAACCCAAAAGAGATGACATTTATCGGCAACCAAGAGGGTCATTCAAGTATATGTCCGCCCATGTTCAATGGGACGGATTACACCTATTGGAAGACTAGAATGAGGATCTTCCTAATTTCGATGGATTTTGAGCTTTGGAACGTTGTCGAAAATAGTTTTCAAAAGTCTTCTCTTCTAATGAACAATTGGAATAAGTTGGAGAAGAAGACTTTCACTTTAAATGTCAAGGCTATAAATGCCTTATTTTGTGCACTAGATAAAAACGAGTTCAATCGAGTGTTGATTTGTGAAACGACTTTTGATATTTGGCACACACTCGAAGTGACTCATGAAGGCACTAGTAGAGTGAAAGAGTCAAAAATCAACCTTTTAGTATATTCTTATGAATTATTTTGAATGAAACCGAGTGAGACCATTGGAGACATGTACACCCGATTTACGGATGTCATCAATGGTCTAAAAGGACTTGGTAAAGGTTTTTCAGATTTTGAGCTCGTTAATAAAGTTTTAAGATCCCTTCCAAAGAGTTGGGACCCTAAAGTCACGGCCATTCAAGAGGCCAAAAATTTAAATAACTTTCCTCTTGAAGAACTAATTGGGTCACTAATTACCTATAAAATAATATACAAAGTTCATGAAGAGCTTGAGGACACCCTTCCAAAGAACAGGAAGGACATGGCACTAAGAACACAAGAAGACCACTTGAAAGAAAACTCAAGTGATGAGGACTTTGATGATGACTTGGCACTTTTAACAAGGAAATTCAAAAAATTCATTAAAAGAAATAAATTTAAAAATGACACTAAAATTAAATTTGAACCCAAGAAAGATCAAGTAATTTGCTACAAATACAAGAAACCGGGACACTACAAGAATGGATGTCCCCAAGCCAAGAAGAGGACACCGAAGAAGAAGGCTCTCAAAGCAACATGGGACGACTCAAGTGCGTCCGAAAAAGAGGAGCTAACCAAAACTGAGCAAGTTGCTCACTATGTACTAATGGCCATTGGAGAGGAGGTAACAAGTTCAATTGATGCAAATTTATCATTTGATGAATTATTAAATACTTTTTATGATTTATTTGATGAGTACAAAATAATTAGAAAATAATATAAATTATTAGAAAAGGAGCATGATTCTCTTGTTAGTAATTTTGATAAATTAAAAATTGAGCATAATGATAGTTTAGCTCAATGTACGAAATGCCATGATTTAGAAATACTTCAAAAGGAAAACTTTCTACTCAAGGATACCTTGAAGAAATTTGAGGTTGGTAGCAAGTCCTTGAACATGATCCTTGCCAACAAGGGTCACGTTCCTAGGAAAGTTAATTTTGATCCCTCAAATTTTGAAACTTATAAACTCTTATGCATGAATTCCCCTTCACACATCTTCCAAATTTCTAAATTTAACGGATACATTCCTTCCTCAATTTTTTCGAATCCAACTATATCTTACAAAATCATGAACTTACAGCTTGCGAGCCAGGTTTACATATGAATTTTGTATGATGTAAATCATGAACTTGCATTATATAATATGAGGCTTACAATGCTTGCATGATGAGTCATGAACATATTGAAAACATATGAGTTCTATATGACATTTGGGTATGGTATGCATTTTATAAGACCGATCATGAATGTATCAAACTTCTCCTCTTGTGATATGAATTTTTATATGATTATGTAATTAAGGTTGTGTGCTCCACAAACAAAAATTCCTTTAAGTTGAAATCACCCACATCAACCCACACACCCTTGTAAGCAATGCTCACTGCTTGTAGGCGGTGGCACCGCCTTACTGCATTTTATAAGACCGATCATGAATGTATGAAACTTCTCCTCTTGTGATGTGAATTTTTACATGATTATGTAATTAAGGTTGTGTGCTCCACAAACAAAAACTTCCTTTAAGTTGAAATCACCCACATCAACCCACACACCCTTGTAAGCAGTGCTCACTACCTGTAGGCGGT